AGAGCCTCCATTTTTGCACTCAGGTCTAAGTCTCATGGCCCTCTATCAGAATCCAGAGTTTTGGGAAGATTGGAGAAACTTAATTTTTCGCCCAAAAAAAAAAAACGTAAGGGGTACCACTGTCGTTTTTTTTTTCGGGCCGAATTTTTGAGTTTCGATATCTCAGCTCTGGAAGGGGCTAGAGCCTCCATTTTTGCACTCAGGTCTAAGTCTCATGGCCCTCTATCAGAATCCAGAGTTTTGGGAAGATTGGAGAAACTTAATTTTTCGCCCAAAAAAAAAAACGTAAGGGGTACCACTGTCGTTTTTTTTTCGGGCCGAATTTTTGAGTTTCGATATCTCAGCTCTGGAAGGGGCTAGAGCCTCCATTTTTGCACTCAGGTCTAAGTCTCATGGCCCTCTATCAGAATCCAGAGTTTTGGGAAGATTGGAGAAACTTAATTTTTCGCCCAAAAAAAAAAACGTAAGGGGTACCACTGTCGTTTTTTTTTTCGGGCCGAATTTTTGAGTTTCGATATCTCAGCTCTGGAAGGGGCTAGAGCCTCCATTTTTGCACTCAGGTCTAAGTCTCATGGCCCTCTATCAGAATCCAGAGTTTTGGGAAGATTGGAGAAACTTAATTTTTCGCCAAAAAAAAAAAACGTAAGGGGTACCACTGTCGTTTTTTTTTCGGGCCGAATTTTTGAGTTTCGATATCTCAGCTCTGGAAGGGGCTAGAGCCTCCATTTTTGCACTCAGGTCTAAGTCTCATGGCCCTCTATCAGAATCCAGAGTTTTGGGAAGATTGGAGAAACTTAATTTTTCGCCCAAAAAAAAAAACGTAAGGGGTACCACTGTCGTTTTTTTTTTCGGGCCGAATTTTTGAGTTTCGATATCTCAGCTCTGGAAGGGGCTAGAGCCTCCATTTTTGCACTCAGGTCTAAGTCTCATGGCCCTCTATCAGAATCCAGAGTTTTGGGAAGATTGGAGAAACTTAATTTTTCGCCCAAAAAAAAAACGTAAGGGGTACCACTGTCGTTTTTTTTTCGGGCCGAATTTTTGAGTTTCGATATCTCAGCTCTGGAAGGGGCTAGAGCCTCCATTTTTGCACTCAGGTCTAAGTCTCATGGCCCTCTATCAGAATCCAGAGTTTTGGGAAGATTGGAGAAACTTAATTTTTCGCCCAAAAAAAAAAACGTAAGGGGTACCACTGTCGTTTTTTTTTTCGGGCCGAATTTTTGAGTTTCGATATCTCAGCTCTGGAAGGGGCTAGAGCCTCCATTTTTGCACTCAGGTCTAAGTCTCATGGCCCTCTATCAGAATCCAGAGTTTTGGAAGATTGGAGAAACTTAATTTTTCGCCCAAAAAAAAAAAACGTAAGGGGTACCACTGTCGTTTTTTTTTTCGGGCCGAATTTTTGAGTTTCGATATCTCAGCTCTGGAAGGGGCTAGAGCCTCCATTTTTGCACTCAGGTCTAAGTCTCATGGCCCTCTATCAGAATCCAGAGTTTTGGAAGATTGGAGAAACTTAATTTTTCGCCCAAAAAAAAAAAAAACGTAAGAGGTAC